AATCAAATGTCAGTAGAAAAATGTGCTACTTATTCTGAAATTGTTACCGAACGATGAGATTCGTGGTGCGATTCGAGTGTTTCAGAGAGTGGGGCTAAGCTTGACAAAATAGGCTCGCATTTCTCGGTTTGGATACAGAGGGATATGGTTTAATGGGCCCATGCTCTACTTCAATACATCGGCATGTTGTTTGAGAAACGCTGGATGGGGTAGGATTTCACGTTCAATTGTCATCAGTCGATGAACTCGGGAAATCTAGACCAAAGGACCACCTTACCTGAGCGTCAAGAGCTAGGATAAGCCGACAAATATTTGTGGGCAAACAATTCTTGCCGTTGAAGCTCTTCTGTTTTTCGCATTTTGATTTGCGTGCCATGGCCGAGTAAGGTTTTGAAACTATTGAAAGGCTGTGCCTTCTTGTTTGAGACGTAAGTTCGAAAGGCTATAGACTCTCCGAAACTACTGAACAGCGATTTTTTTTTTTAATCGAGGTGAACATGGCATTGTTTTGTTCGTTCAATATACCGACGAAATGTATACCTATGTCTTACAGAATAAACTGTTTGAAGTAATGTGAAATAATGTGATCCAATTATTTGATTTTATGATTACGAAAAAACTGTTTTAATGTATGATTTTGATGTGGTCTGTATTTGATATGATTTCTAAAATCTGCTGCTAGGCCAACATAGAGTTTCATGATACAATTAAAACTACAAGATGGTTCAAAATAAAGGGAAAGCACATTTGACATCAATTTTCACCTACTTAGTTAACTTATTTTAATTGTTTCTTCACATAGTAGTGAAGTATAGCCCTTTAACCAGGCATGGTGATAAAAGCTTAGTAAGACTAGTGATATTATGCTAATTTGAATAAAACTCACCAAAATGAGTCTTTTCCACGTATTATTATATGTAAATTGGACTTTTTTGTAGTTCACAAAAAATTATAAACCTTGCCAACAAAATGTTGTGACCTGGTAACTTTTATTGAGGCCGGTACTTTAATAACTACCAATCAAAAGTTTAAATAATTTGTAAAAATAGGTGGAAATTGCTGTCAAAAGTGGATTTTCTTTATTTCAAACCACCCTGTAGATTATATTCAAGCCGGATGCATAGCCACGAACTCGTGAACCATTGAAACAATATTCTGGTTAGTGTAGTGAAAACAAATATTTATACAAGGATGAAACGACTACCGCACCGGTCCATAATTTAACCTTAGATAGACATCAACCAAGGCTTCTTTAAAGTCCACACATGGCCTGTACTTTGATTGATCTCCATCCATCTCATCCTCGTCTGGTGACATCATGTTTGCCTCTGCAGGTGAAAACACAATCCGCATCAATCAAATATTCATACCGTGTTCTCATTCTATAGAAGCCAAGTCTCCGTAGCGGAGGTCTTGACAAACAATACAAGGCTGTATTCACCGCGAGAGAGATGAAATGTAATTTACTGAACAAACTCCTATCTTGGTGCTCTGTTATCTTGGCACACCCCGATGTGACGGTTCAAAATTGAAAAATTCATGGGGCTTTTTTGAGCCATGAGATTTATATCCAATAAAGAAGTTATCAAGTTGAAATGATAATATTGGTTTATTTTGCACCGGTGAAACCACAATCATTGTATTTAGTTTGATTTTACCAAACGGAAGTTGAAATAAAAACGTGAAGTATCAATCCCACAACGAATAGACTTTAAAAATGCCTCATTGCTGTAGGCAAAACAAGTGTGTCTCCAGAGATATGCTGCGTCTGCGCACTGAGCGTAATTAACGCGGGGAAAACGCCCGGACGGAAACGGATGGCGGGAAAGCAAATGATGAAAGGTCGGCAACACATCCCGTTGCCGTGACAACCAACATCCACTTTCGGACTTTTCACAGGGAGAGGATGACAAATATTGTCGGCAAGCTAACGCCTCGGGTTGTGCACTGATTCAACGGCAATTTATCTGGAGAAATGGGAGCGTTATGAATATAAAAGAACACGCCAGCCTTGTGATAAATGATGACAGTTTTTACCATTAAGATATTGACCGTGCGAAACTTAAAGCTCACTTAAGAAGGAAAAGATATTAGTCTTCATTTAAGGCGGCGATATATACACGCACTGGCCATTAGCGTGTTCACATTAAGGAATAATTTGATTTCGAAAAAGTCTATAGTATCCGAAACCCGTTTCTAAAATTACACTCCTTGCTTGCATGAAGAAAAAAAAGGTGTTGGTAACCAATTTCGTTCTGACGGTCTTTACAAATCGCCAAGGAAAAAAAATGACGCAATACTGCTTAGGCCTACATAAAATACTTTGTGCAGCTTGTTTTTCCTGTATTCATTGTCTGTTTTAAGTATAAAAGATGCTAACGGTGCATATTCTTTTGGGTATTTTTATGAAAGAAATATGGTGTCGATATTTTCTGACGGTCGCAATGTGGTGGTACATTGATTTTTCAGACAGGCTTTGAAAAATGATGGACACGTAGCTATTCAGTGTGATATAAAATTATAAATTATAAGGAAAATTGTGAATTTATTTTCAGGTTGTGTCAAAAAATTTCAAAATGTTGATGATAAAGGAGATGTTCTTTGTCTCTTTGTCATATACACCGCCATATTTGTTGCCTCTTCGTTCCCGAGAGCATGTTGTTTTTGCACTTTTTCCCGGTCAAGTGTGTTGGAGAGTTCTGTAATGGGATCGATCATGGTTGGAGTTTGATTGGTCTCCTCTAGTCTTGTCCCCGCCCATTTTACTTGTGTTTGCATCATTTGTCTCATTCTATCCCCACCTTATCTATCACCGTATTTGCCTGTCAGGGTCATCGTCCTGATCAGTACGGACTGGCCTCTCTGGTCATCTTGACCACTTGAAGAGGCTGACCTAACACCAAGCCGGTGTTCCGGTGAAATTTCAGACCTATTGATGAATAATTCAGCGTAGTTTCCGGTCATTTCGTGGTGGTCAAGGCTCGGTAATGTTACACCTTTCTTGAAGAAATTGCTTGATACCTCCTACCGTTTTGCAAGTTTAATTCATCGATTAAAAGCAAATTGAAAATAAATTCTGTATTTTCCTGGTCTTTCCGAGCTGGTCTTTCCTAGCCGCCGTAGGCTACTCAGAAAAGCTGCTTTCATTTCTGCACGTTTTGCTTGATGCCATTTCCAAGTAGGCCTATTTATATTCTCGCATCTAGTAGGGGAAATTTAAATTTACATATCAAATAACGCGCGTTGATCTTAAAGATCACCGCCATTTGACTTTATGTCTGCCTGCATATTAAGATGACGTGCTTCTTTATTGTCTAAGTCATTACACTGACAAGATAGATTTATTCATCATTTCGGATTTTTTTCGTAATGCGTAAACGACTACATGGCATGGTGTAAGATCACATAGCGATGCACGACAACAAAACAATCCACAAATCTGTTTTCATTCGCGCAATTCCTGTTGTTTAATCGTCTATTCAGAAAAACAAATTTCCTAACATTTTAAAGAACACTTTCTACTTTTGTGTTTCTATTTAACAGTAGTTCTTAGCTATACCTTATATAATAAAAAAAAAGTCACACCGTATTAATTCTCTCCTTCATTCTCTCCTTCATTAATTACTTTGTCAAGCTTAAATGTCAAGGCCAAACTAGGTTCTAAGCATCGCTATGAACCTATGATCATGGCGAATCGAGCATTATATCCTCCGTACGCAGGCCGAAAGGCATGACTGCGCTACTACCGGTCGAAAGCCGAATAATTGTGGATTTATTAATATCGCATTTGAGTATCGATTCCTGGAACCCACTCGGATGAAGCTGATATCAACCTCTTGGGACCCGTTTCATCGCTAAACAGCCGTTGGCTTTCAAAAAGTTAACTTGGGCTTATCATCATGGTGAACTTGAAACAGCCGTCTGAATAATATATGTCTCTTTTGCGTTCATTTGGATCTGTAAATTGTTTGTGACATGCGTAATGCGGTGAAACTGATAGTTTGCAAGACATACACTTATCATAAAACTTAAATAATATGATTTCATTTTATGCGTTCACGATGACAGCATTGACGTCAGAGGAGCTGGCTAAATATAATTGGTCTTTTTCCCCATTAAAAAAAAAACCATAAAAATAGTTTTGATATTTTCCAAACCTGATTGCTACATCACACAACTGTGTTGGCTGTACATCTCGGCCATGTGATAATCTGTGTCCTTCTTCATTGCTTTTGATGAAGTAATGTTGTTGGAAATTGGCAATTCCACAGATTTATAAACCTCAATGTTATAACTTCGAAAAAAATCCAAAGGCCACAAATGAAACATATATACCATTTTGAAGCTTATTGTCTGCATTTTTATTGATTAAATTGTTTATTTCTAACAATGTTCAACAGTTCAGATGTTGCTTTTAACTGAAAACTTAATAAGTACACAAATATCTTCGTCTGAGTACATTCGACACCATGGTGTATCGAGCCGATTTCTACTGCAGCAAAAAAAAAACTTGGATGAATTATTTCTTTTTAAAATCATTGTAGTAACTTACTGATACGTTTTATTAGAATTAGAATCCATTTTATGATTAAAAATTGTCTTATGCACTGTGAGATGTACCTGTACGTCCGGTCCGACACTGTGCCATGGAACTGCCCAAATATTTCTACAAGATGTGTTACCCTCAGTCAGTTGTTTATATTTTATATTAGTGCTGCGTACATATCTATTATTGTTACTCACAGTAGCACAAAGAGGTTTCTCATCGAACCCTTTTAGACTAGTGACGGAAAGTTTATTGACCATTTAGCTTTCATTAATCATAGACTAGGTGAAAATCATTATCCGTCAATTAGTAACGTTGAAGTACGTACACGATACTGAAGTAAATAAATGATGCAGCATCTTTAAGCAGGTACATTCAAGACATACACCTGTATCCCGCCGAGCCCGCTCATGTCGATCGTAATTTGTAATCACTTTTCTCAATCTGCTTACAGCTATTGGTCTAGCTCCCGGCCCCCTTAATGGCCCCTGACATTTCAACCAGACTACTCAAGCGGTCGCCAATCCACATCGTCGGCAGCGCGTCCGCGTCCGTCCACCGCGCGTATGACGTCATCGCGTGAGTGATGCCTCATACTATCCGGCTTGGCTTGACAACTGAATAGGAAGATGAGATAGGCAGGCTGCATCATTTCAGAGGACTCTGTTGAATCTGAAGATGCGGCCTTAATGGAGGTATCTTACTACTTATGGAGCAGAGCAAGGAGCAGCTATAGAAAAGGTAAGAAAGAAATAGATCCTTCATGAGTTAATAGCATGTAGGTCGCCAGGCATTTAATAAGAAACTCATTAATGGAGTACAAGCACAGGAATTTTTTATTAGGACATCTTTCGCTGTTCTGTATGAAACTGTGAGCAAGTTGTGATGAAGAAAATTCCACGATGCCGAAAGGATTTGTGATACCTTTTGACATTGGAAAAGGTGATCTGTTGGTTCAAAGGGGCTTTCCAATACCCCTGCATCTGCATCTGTTTGCTGTGCTTCTGTACAAACGCTATCTCGTACAGTTAGCACAATACAACACAACGCAATGCTGTCTGTCTGCGATCTTTATGTATTATAATGCAAGTTAGCAATACTTCCGGGTTATCTGTCTGGATTTTCTTTTTTCTTTCTTTCATCATTTTCCTTTATTAAAACGGTTAGGGAGTGGCGTCTCAAGTTTATCCTTCATTGATGAAAGCACGAAATAAGTTGAGTGCAAAGCGCATGCGCAAATGATTATTGCCATGTTACTTTTTTGCTGACATGCCTGATTGACCGTTACGATCACTGATCTCTATATGTCTTTATATAGAGATCAGTGGTTACGATGTTCGTTACCATTGCAGCAACGTTTCGTCGTAACTATTCGCAGTCCACATCAACCAAACATTCATCCGTGCAAATTCATCCTAGAATCCATGAATACAAATTCGGCACGGACCGAGACATGTGACACCGGGTCGAGTGCAATTGACCCACAATTTTGCCAACGAGATTCCGCAAAACGGACGCCAACGTGGACCCTTTGCTTTAAAGTGAAATCATTTTCCACTCGCTGGAGAAAGAAAAGGCGGAGAATATTCAACATGTTCTCAACCACCGTTTTAAAATTTATTCTGCGTGATCACCATGGAAACTGTTACATGCTGAATAAAATGATGTTGGGCTGCCTTCTATAAATTTCAAACTACAAACAGTGTAGAATTTTTTGACATTGGGAGAAAAAACATATAAGAAAATGTCGTTTGAAAAGGAAATAGCAAAAGGCGTCGGTGCATAGACAAATGCTCCTTAAACTCATTCACCAGTGACCAAAATAATGTACGCTAGAGAAATAAATTTCATGGTAATGAAATTTTTCTTTTCTCGGCATCCGCCATGGGACGATTCATGGTTGACTTCCGGCGCATGAGTCTAGTTCCTTGGCCCGTGACAAAGCCGACAATTACTGGTCTAATCTCCGCCTCTCTCGCTGTTGGTGATCCTGGCTTTGGGGCAGTGCAGCTTGCAATTAGGATCACGTCATCTTTACGGGTGAATTCTCCCTATAGCGCGATGAGTAAGCAAGGCCATCGCGACGCCCTTCGCCTAAATGCACTATCTGATCCAAGTGGAGAAACAGGAACCACCGCGAGCGATAAAGATACTTAATCGAAGGTGAGAAATATGCGAGACTCTTTATTCATTTTCCTTTGGTCGTGAGACATACATGTGACGAAAGCATGAATGCAATTTGACACCAATGATGTACGAATACATTTTAAAAAAAAAAAAAAACACCTGCTGAGGCTATATATAGACCACTGTCGGGTTGTCGCAATCGTCTTAGAAGTGCTCAAGGAGGTCAGATATATATTAATGATTGACCAAAGTGGGTTGTTAAGGTGTCTGTTATAGTGCTGTTCTGTTGAGTTAATTCTTTAAACTGTAACTTCTTATTCTATTTATTAAAAGACACAAAATCAGGAATTATGAATCAAACTATTTATGCATGGTCGTTAAACATCGTTAATATTGCTCCAATTTTGAATAAATTTTATTGAAAGTTAATATAATCTTATTGGTTGTTGTCTGACGAACCGTGTGGAAAGAACTGAATACAAATACACTGTGTTTGCATTTTGGATGGCAAAACAGTCTTTTGAGTTACATTTGCAGGCAACGTACATACTAAAAACCAAATCGTGCAAAATCAAATAATACTTAGGTTTATCTTTTTGTCGGAGGCCATATATTCCCTCTCGAACTTTACGCGCACAATAGAATATTTTGAGTATTAAAACACACTAGTGAGGGTTTGGATTTCCACTGCACACAATTATTATGCTTCATTATCTGGTAATTGCATAACGGCATCACTATGTTTATAATGTTCATCGCCAGCATGTTACCGCCTTATAATCATGTTTTCGTCTTCGTTATCTTATTGAAATTCGCTGCTGCCCTTATCCATTATCCATCATGTCCATTATATCGAGGCGATCACAGAACACTGTCTGCTGTAAGAGATTAAATTTCTCTATAATAACAAGAAGCTATTCAACAGACGCTCTTCGCCCAGAAATCAAGTTGTTATCTTGGCCTCCGTTTATGATTTCAGATCCCGCATCCAGTCATTTTCTTAAGGATGCAACTCGTCTTTTTATGAGTTTCTAGTCTGGGCTTGTCAGGTCGACCCCTGGGACAACCTGTCTGCTAAGAAATTGCTTTTATAAGGTCCTGCGAAAAATGAACCGCATAATAAAGGCAGTATATGTATTCCTTTCGGAGCATAATATACTTCTTATTGTACTAAAACTGTTAAAGGTGACGACTTTACCGAATGTACAAATTTAGAGTTTATGTATTGTATGTTTTAACCACACTGATGTACATCCTATTTAATATTCAACAGATGTAGCAACTTGTTTATCAAGGTTCATAAATTTTGATTGGTTGAGGTGCTGTCACGTGGGTGCTAAATACAATGAGATATTAACTGTGCGAAATACAGTGAGATACTTACAAGCAAAATACTTGAAAGGTGGGCAGAATGCCGCGAGCTTATTTTTGTTGTACCTTATGCGTTTTGTTTCGAAATTTAATCTGAATGTCTCCAAAGTTTACAAGTATTTTAAAATGAATTTCGTATGAATCTAGTCGGAGGCCAGGGCCAGGAATTTGATAATTATTACTGTGTGCCTTTGAATATTTATGTTCCATTGCACTTATTTATTTACAGCCATAGGCAGCTCTCAACTGTCACTTCTGGTGAGTTGGGAAATGGTAAGACGAATCTGTCTCCCTGTCTAATCTCTTTAAACCTAATTACACCATATAGTGCCGCAACTGTTGCATTATGTATATACTTATGTGGGTTCAAGCAGCTAAGGAACCTGGGGTTGGATTGACGTCATGATGACGTTATCAGCGCCGTTGTAAGGTACTCTGCAGACAAGGTGGAGTATGTCAGGAGAATGTTCAGAAGCGCTTGATGACGTCATTATGGGTTAGACTTGGTGGAATTTACAGAGCATGTCTATACATGCCCACGCACCGAGACTGCAAGACTAGTTTACTTGTAAATGATGATGATAAGAAGGTGTGTACTTCATCGCTGGTCACTTTACTCCAAGTGAGTTTATCTACGTGACATTTCACACGTCCTCCTAGAAACTCTCCTTGCCCACTTCGACAGACTGGCTCCAAGATCATATCGAAATTCTGTCCATGCAGAGAGAACGTCAACGTTTCTTGTCTGGCTCCTTGAGTAGAATGTTAGAGTTTGTAATGACTAGGTGCTGACATAATTCTCTTTTCTGTGTTTCTTTTATTTCTTCTTCTTCTTCAGTCTATCTTGGTGCAGCTGCCGAGCGTGTTTCTGGATTGAGCTAGCCAACTGTCACAATGCCGGGGCTTATTGACAGGCACACTAGATCGCCACTGGCTCTCCAAGCCACAAGAGTGTCAACGTGTCTGAACGGACTGTCACTCGGTTTGACCTCATCATTGACCTACTTCAACGATGAAGACCACGTCGTTGAGGGCGTCTTTTGTCTCGCGCTGGACGAGAACACGTCAGTGACGGGATTTGAGGCGCGTATGTCCCAGGGGCGTAACATCAGCGTACACGTGAAGGACCGCTGCGAGGTCGAACACTACGACGAGATTTTAACTGGTTCGCCTGCAACTTCGCGTAACAATGGAGGCCACCATCATACCTACATCCCACCAGGAAAGTTTGCCTTGACTGAGTATGACAGTACCCGTGTATTCTGCGCAAATCTCGGCACGATCCGACCTCACGGGACGGTCACCATACTCATGTGTATCTCGTCTTTGCTTCAAACCGGTAAATCCGGGGAAGTGCTCATGAAACTTCCGCATATATTCACCCCGAGGTTAGTCCGCGAACTTGTGCCTTCTGAAGGAAAGAGCAGCGCCCATTCCTCGCGTCCTAAAGCCAAGCCTAGCCTAGTTGTAGCATCACAGCATCAATTTATCCTCAGATCTCTGATTGATATAGCCGAGGAAGTCAGCGAGACACCCAAGGAGTACGACTTTGAGTTTCAGTTGGAGGTGAAAGCCCCCGCCTTGCTTGCTGGCGTGTCGTCGTGTACGCACGCGATACGAGTCGATGCCGATCCTTACGCCGATAACGCTTCGGATGTTTTCGTGACTCTAGCCGAGCCTCATCAAATGGACCGAGATTTAGAGGTCATACTCCACCCACCCAAACCCCACTTGCCTATAGTCATCCTAGAACATGGCGACATGAGCCCTGCGGAGTATGAAAACTTCGTCAAAGTGGAACAGGAGTACTTCCGGACTGGCGAGAGTACGGAAAGCGATCAGCGACGAGACCTGTTAAACCGAATGCACAAGGATATAATGCACAATGCCGTATCAATGCTGAACTATTGCCCAGATTTCGATAGTCTAGTCCGCCAGATGATACCCTGTCGTTTCGATATCCAAGGTGAATATATCTTCATGATTGACCGCAGTGGTAGCATGAGTGGTGAATATATCGCTAATGCTCGCGAGACTCTCATGATGTTTCTGAAGAGTTTACCAACCTGCTGCCACTTCAACATCGTTGGGTTCGGGTCATCCTTCAAGCCTCTATTCGAGTGCAGCCGAGCCTACACCCAGTCCAATATCCGAGAAGCCAGTTCCTATATCACCAAGATGCGAGCTGACATGGGAGGCACGAGTCTACTTGCCCCGCTGCTGTGGATCTACCAGCAACCCGTCACCAGGGGTTGGCCACGGCAGCTATTTGTTCTCACAGATGGTGGTGTTAATAACACTGGGGATATACTAGACCTAGTGCGCAGTCACTCCAGACATACAAGGTAAGAAGGAAGATGTTCAAAATATGGCGTTTCAATCACAAAAGCCTTATTAGCTGAATGTTATTACCAATTTTTTACAAATATTTTGTCAGCGTGTTTATGAGACCTTTCAATCAATCTCTTGGGTCAAGAGCACCTGTTAGGTAGACCTTGTTACTGTACACCTGTCCATCACTTACTGAGACGCAATTTCTATTTTGATGCATCTCTAGCTTTCTCTTTTTCACAGTGATAAATACTTTCGAAGTCTTTATACCATATCAAATAGCACATGGTTTGAAAAAAGAGCCACTTTTTTTCTGATTGTACAAACTAATTGACGCTGTGCGATCGTGCGAAGGTACTCATGAAGAAAATATCAAATGGTCAGTTCGTTTGTTGCAGTTTGTTGATACTCAATCCTTAGCGATCGAAAACATTGATCCGTGTAATCAGAGAATGTAAGAGATATCAGCCGTATATAGACGGGGAATGTGTTAATTTCCACTTATACTCTGTTTTCGTGAGAGGAATTCCCAAAGCTATCACTATCCTAAGAAGAAATTTTTAAAGAGTATTCACCTCGCCAGTGTTTGTTTCCCGTTTTTCGAATCTTGTTTATGACTTTTTATTATCTGCAGAGTTCACACTTTTGGAGTTGGGGAGAACGTTTCTAAACGTCTGGTGAAGGGAATGGCACGCGCCGGTAGAGGGCGCGCTGAGTTTATCGCCATTAAAGACCGTATGCAAAGCAAGGTAAGAACTAAGAAGTTTATATCGCTGTAAATTCACAGTGGCCCCCTTCAATGGCGAACGCATTGTACAAGCTATTGTACCAAGCAACTGCCCTAGCATAATTCTTTCGCCATTGACTGGGTATCCGTGAGTGGACAGTGGCTAATGTGCTCACAAAGGTCTATACCATACAATCATTCTTTGGTTTCATCTTTTCGAATAAAATGCCATTCTTGAATGTTTTACGCGTGACGTTATGGGTCTGCCATTTTCAAGTAAATGCGTATACGTGTCCTCAAAATGGCAGATGCGTGAGTCTTGGTTGGCTCGAAAAGGGGTTGATAAAAATGCGATTTCTATCGCGTTGATGTGATTCGGACGACGACTCGGAGAATAGGGTATAGATTAATGCTGCGTTCTTTTCGCAGGTAAACAGGAGGTTGGTGTGCGGATACTGTGAATGTAATTACTGAAAAGTGAGAAGGCGTAAAAAAAGGAAGATACACATTTGAGGCAGATCGAACCGAAGCTGTTTATGCTTCACACGAATGCAAATGCCAGGGAAAGTTAATGTAATGAACAATTCCTAGCAAAACGTGCTTTTGTGAAGGCCGGAGCGCGACGTGCAACTTCGTTCACAGATTTAGTCTCGACGCATTGGCATGTCGTGCTATGGCCCTAACTCAACCATAGATAAAATAGCTACCGTACGTGTGATGCTAGTTTTCCGTGGCTTAACCAATTGTTTTTTTATCAGACACCTTTTCATGTTGTCAACTTATTGATATTCAGGCCTGAGGTTGTCAAAATATAATTAGGTATCATGTAGCCACGGGTTCCGTTAATTTAAATGATTTAGTATAGATTTTTCATCGTTGTTTCCTGATAGCGTTGAGTCTATAGGAATATAGTACATTGTTATGCAGAAAAAGAACCGGATCTGGTTATTTTGGTCTGATTGTATCATGCATGACATGACAAAGTTGTGACGTCACTTGCCTGAAGCTTTTTAGGTAAAAAAAACGTATGGATAACAGAAAACATTTGAACGAAACACATGGAACCATGTGCATAAATTTCAGAATCGTCAAAAACAGTGAAGGCCTACTCAGGCGTGTATTTGCATGTTAAACCAATCAAACGGAAATGACAAGGATGTTGTTATAATTCCGACACGCACGTTGGACAGACACGTCGTTTGGTATGGTCATTCCAATGCGCTGTTAACCTGCGACATAGCGTTTCAGAAAATGTGACCTCGTATTTAAAAAAAAAAAAGTCTCTTCGTCACATTTCTCACTAATAACATTTCAACGCACTGCATTGAGCATACTCTTGTATAATTTTGATATATTATGCCACTGGCATCAACATTGGTCTATGGATGATGAATACAGACAGTTACAACGTTTGCAGTTCCTATTGATTGTCATTGTGTCAGTTTGGGCTCCAGGGCCCAAACTGAAAAGTAACGAGCGTTTCATTGTGATGGTTTGGGTTACACAAGTGGCAGCTAAATCGATGGAATTTACATAGTGCGACCTTGGCATTTACACGCGCGCGCTGACATTTTCCTCTCATGACGTCATCGGTGGGAGCTGCATTGCCTTTGGGTGCATGAAAACAAAGTTTAACAAATCACTCTTGTGTAATTGGGAGGTAGTCCAACGATCCGTATCCGATTTGACAGGGACTTTGTGAGTTGTCATGGTGGTTTATTGATGGGATGGGTGATTGACTCGACCCTGGGGGTCCTTGTGCTTTCATGGAGAGGAGGTTATTCATTTCATGGGAGATTGTCTGGATTTGTCTGGAGGGTTCTTTCTTAAATGTCAAGACGATTTTCGGATGTTGTTTGGCATAACAAGAGATCACATTTCACGTCTTATGAGTGCGCTGTTACAAAAAGTTGAGTATTGCGTATCCGAAGTTAAAAAAAAACACCCAAAACACTTAAAACGTCTTACTACAACTTTAAGATTGAACGAAGAACTTGTTCTACATCTGGCTATTGTTTGCTTTCAAATATAGTTCCAGCTGTGAGGCTTCGTTTAAACCTCTTATGGTAAAGGTTTCACGGAGTTAATAATTGTTCGGGAAAAGGGGGAAAGTTAAGCATTCCTAGTAGTGGATTCAATGGGAATAGTATTTTGTTATTATTAAAATACTGCAGGACTATCTACCAAGTTTTTTCTGATATATGGCTAGTGATCAGTATGTTAGAAACTGGTTGTCTGGTATTTCAGACGAGAAAGAGGATATTTTTCATACGAAGGCAATTTTTCTCTGATGTTGATTTGATATATCGATCTTAGAGGCTGAGTCCGTCTTTAAAATGTAAAGCATCGACGCTCCAAACAACATTGAATTGAGTTTCTTGAACGGAATTGGCGGACGGGTGATTTTTCCCCAAAAAAATGTGCTGTTCAAAACCAATCTACTTAGGATATGAGTTGATACTTTGGGGAATAAATTGAGGATAAAAAAATATGATGGCGTATTGTGCTTGAACGCGCTTCCTGTATCAACAAGCCACGATGGACGCAAACAAGGACTCGTCTAATGGCCATCAGGGCTGTGGGGAGAAATCACCGCCACAACCCGCCCAGGTACTCGGGTCAACCCGCTCACTGAGAGCTGTTTTTCGTAGGAACACCTTTCTCTCTGGGGACAGCGATTGTCCATTAACGTGCGCCCATCAAGAAGAATTGAACTTTTGCAATTTCATTCTCCGAGGATCTATTCTCGACCTGAGATCGTGTCTAAAGGACCCCGAGGATCGGAACGAGGGAGGAACAAACAGTTGGTTGGGTAGCCGGTGCTTTTAGAGTTCAGATCACGTAGAGCATGGTTGATGGGTTGTCAAGTGTAAGTTTGTCAAGTGTAAGTTTGTGTTACATTCAACTATCAATTATTCTGCAGGTGAAATGAGAAACATGGAATCGGATGAATTTAAAGCGTGTATTTGAGGCTGTCCTTTGAAAGGGCAGTTTATTGAAATGGAACTGGATGGAAAATAGTAAAGATTTAACGTAATGGCGTAGATATTGTATAATTTGAGTAGTAGGGGAGGTGGGGGAACCGGAGCAAAATGGAAAAAATCTGCGGCAAGCCTGAGCACGCCGCTCTCGATTCTAAAAATAGTTGGGGAAAAATATAGGGGAATCCCCCGATCTCAAAAAAAAAAAATCTGACGCCGGGTGTGGGGGAGAAAAAAAAAAAAAAAAAAAAAAAAAACTGACGCCGGGTGTGGGGGAGAAAAAAAAAAAAAAAAAAAAAAAAAAACTGACGCCGGGTGTGAGAGAAAAAAAAAAAAAAAAAAAAAATCTGACGCCGGGAGAGAGAGAGAGAGAGCAAAAAAAAAAAAAAAAAAAAAAAAAAAAAAAATCTGACGCCGGGAGAGAGAGAGAGAGAGAGCAAAAAAAAAAAAAAAAAAAAAAAAAAAAAAAAAAATCTGACGTCGGAGAGAGAGAGAGAGAGAGAGAAAAAAAAAAAAAATATCTGACGCTGGGAAAAAAAAAAAAAAAAAAAAAAAAAAAAAAAACAAATCTGACGCCGAGAGAGAGAGAGAAAAAAAAAAAAAATCTGTCATCGCTAAAATGAGGTGATGTCACCACCACGTGACCTTGAAAAATATGTGAGTCACCACCACGTGACCTTGAAACGTGTTGAGGCACGATAGAAATTTGGCGTAAACAACGCGACCTTGAAAAATATGTGAGTCACCACAACGTGACCTTGAAACGTGTGTGAGTCACCACAACATGACCTTGAAACTCGAGACAAAAAAAATTAGCTCCTTACCCTGTAAAAGGTGAGGAGCTGTTTTTTAATATAAAAATGGAGAGTAATATGTTTAGACCGACGAGTATTTGAAAAATGAATAAAAAATAATATCGGTTTTTATTAAATAGATGGAATACTTTGGGACGTCACAACTTGGGGATAAGTGCGATCATCATATAATCATCGAGAATGGTTTTTTAATTTGTGAAACGTGCGGTGAAATAGTTTCACGTTATTTTGATTTTTCGGCAGAAAATGTGCAAGAAGATCGTATCAATTGGTCAACTTTAAAGAGAAACAAAAGAAAAACTGTGGAGAAACTTATTTTGTCTGTTTGTCCAGAGCAAGACTCAGAAGATGTCCAAGAAACAATCAATAAATATAACGAGCTCGTTAATTACAAAACATTGAGGGGAAATGGTTGCGTCAAACGGTCATTAATAGCGGCGTGTTATCATCACGTCGTTGGATTAGACAAAGAACGAGTTAGAGATTTATTTAAAGTGACTCAAAATCAATTTAATAAAGCACTAAAAATATACGATGACCACTACAATAAAGGCGGGGCCGAGGGTAACACCCTAAGAGGTGAAATAGAGGTATAACTCGGTGGTTCGCTTTCATAATGTTTATTTACCGAGAATTTGAACTTGTAAGTTTTTCGATAAGAGATTTTTTTTCTTTTGCCAGCCGTTCGTCTACCCGTTTTTTAACTTCTTTTTCAAAGTCTGTATCGTTTTTAATCTTTTGAAGCTTTGTGCTGGTCTTTGTTCTAATTTTCTGCTTAAGCTCGTTAAATTTGGCGAGCTCTCTCGTAATCAATAAGAACTCTTCGTGCGATATATCTCCGTCGTTGATGGCTTGAGACACGTATTCTTCAATCGTGTTAAGTTTGGAGTCTGCTAATATCTTAATCTGGTCGTGCTTTTTTAGCTTGGCGGATAATCGCCTAGACGCGATTCTAAGCAGAATATCTACACCAAAAGCGCCTATAAACGTTCCTTCTAGCACCAATCCAACGGGGGCTGATATAACACCCAAGAGAGCGGGAATACTGACAGCCCCCGCTACAACCCCCAATCCTTCTAATCCTATCTCTACGTAATTAATAGTGTCGATCACTCTCTTTATTTTTTTATAAGTGCGCTCTCGGTGGTCTCTCTCTTTCAAGATTAAAGATCGAATCTCTTCAATCTTTTTAAGTCTGTACACTTTTGTTTCTTCGTTACTATTTA